CCTCCGCCCGTCACCTCTCGAGTTAATGAGTAGTCAGAAGGCCTGGATTATTTCTTGTGTTAATTTTTTTAACGAGACTTGTAATACAGACTGTCAATCTATAAAGATCACCTCGAGTCATCATTTACAAGCCCCCTCCCTCTCAGTACTTCAGATGTTCTCCTCAATTGTCGAGTTATCATAAATTTATTAATTCACTAGTTATCAATATTTATTAATTCACTGGTTATCAATATTTATTAATTTACTGGACAATAAATTTTCACAATAGAAGATTTTCGGAGATACATCTCTTGAGCTGGACCGAAATAACAGCATCGAGGCAATAAAATTGACGGTTTCGAAGGAATCCTTAGGTACGATATTCTTATTAGAATTCCGTAGTCGTTGGCTGCTGGAGTGTTGGAGAGTTTTCTTCTCCTGGTCGTTGCTCATGCCGGGCTGACCCGAGCCAAATACCTCTAGCAACTGGCAATTGTGAATTCTTGATTGAAGGCATCTTTTCCGCCCGTTTCATTGGAGTAGGCTCGGAGAAGGGCACCGTCGCCTTTTTCCTGGGCTCGTGGGCTCCTCCAGGTTTCCCGGAAAATATACTGGCCTTTCCTTTTCCCGATGGGTCTGCATATCGTGGATTTTATATCTCGTGATAGAGAGATATTCAGGCCGAACTTACTCAAATTTTATTTACCTTGAAGAAGGATTTCAAAAAAAAATGAAAGAGGAAAAAATATAACACTTGGTTGACGACTGAGGTCCTAGTTTAAATAACTGTTCGGAATCGATTTGGAGGATTGCTTTTGTAGACTTATTTTTTACAACTGAAACAGTAGGTGAAAAGAATTGGCTTATTAACAATTTTTCCGGATTCATTCCTCTGACGCCGGGACTATTAGGGACATACGCAAGATATCTTGCCGGTAATTCTTCCACATCGCTCTCAGGAATGCCAGTAGATCATTTAAGGAGAACTTGAACCGTTGACTGTGACAAGTTTATAAAAAATTCAGCTACGAATAATCTTTAGTTTTGTAGTTCTATTTATTTCGACGTGATCTGCATTCGGTTACAGCCTATTGCCATTAACCGGAATAGCGAACATTGAAATGTCTTATATTGTATTTACCAGGCAAATCTTCGTGAAGCTCACGGCATCAAATACTTGATAATATTTGCAACTGTCACATCTCTCGTCCGATCAGTCTCTATGCTCAGTCATCGTAACCTACTGATCCCATTGCTCATTTTCCATTTTTTAGCCTTTCAAAATTGAAGAAAATTGTTCTTTTTTCATTATTTTCTCTTCTTCTTATTTTTTCCCATCTCCCCATACAAGGTTTAGAATCACTCTGCCTCTAAGGGAGCGTTGTTGCGCATAATAACATCCTCGTAGTCATGGAAATGATCAAAGAAGACGAATAAAAGATTAACAATGAAAATAATTATTCATTGTTAATCTCTTTTATGCCATTGGTGCCCGTAATCGCGCGATTCTAACCTCGCTTCGCTCGGTTAAATCGCGGCTTCCGGGCGCGATGACATAAAATTTTGTATGAAACGCGTGCGTAATATATTTTTCGACTCGTGGAATTGTAAAACTCGCCTTGGGCTCGTGTTACAAACCCCCCACGAGTCAAAAAATATATTACGCACGTGTTGCATAATATACTATTATGATAAAGGATACGACGAATAGAATATTCTGTTACGCACGGGGATTTCTATTTTGAAAACATAATTCTAGTTATCAATATAAACATCCTGCATGCCACTCCCTAACAGAAACTGTGGTTAATTTATCTAATTATTAGTATATCGATGTCATTCTGCTGCATGTTGTCACCAATAAAATCGATGACCAGACGATAAAATCAAATTTTAGAAAATCAGAACTGATAAGAGTAATCTTTTCTTTATAAAAAAAATTGAATATCAGGAAATAATGTCAAGAGTAATAATTACTCATCTCTAGTAGCAAATAAACGATTAACTACTGTCTTTTTTTTCGGAAATAGGTTTATCGTAAGATTTTTCGGAATTTAGAAAAATATGGGAAAACGCGCGCATTTTTAGAATTGTGATTGTGTAGAATAGTAATTTATTATTAGTTAGTATTAGTAATACAAAGTACTAGTAATAAAAAAAATGAAATAATTATTAGTTAGTATTACTATTAGTAATACAAAACTGAATTCAATTGGATGCAGATTCTTCACTGGAATTCTCCTCGCAAACAAGAAGTCAGGAACAAATACTCCAGCGACTTCAACCGAATGCATCGCGTCTTTCTTGAAATGGACGGTAACTTACTTCGTCGTCAATTGTTTCATTGTAATCCAGTTCAAACGTCTGATAACGTGAGTTCATGTCCGTTATTCAATTCACCATATAAAAACCAATCGAATCCCAAGTCAAATGATCTCGAACAAAGAGGTTCCCCAAAATGATCCTCGGATGACATCAAAAGTGACAATATACGCGCCAATTTAAATCAGGGATGGGCAACCTGTGGTCTGAGAGCAAGTCGTGCACTCGACCTCTATTCGTACATAACAAAGGGTAGACAAAAGCTTATTGTGGCGGGTGATGGGCCTTTATGACCCAGGTCGTAAAGGCCCTTCTCCTCGGCTGAAATCAACCGAAGTGGGGTTAACACTTAAGAACAGGAAAAGAGGAGAAATGTCGCTGAAGAAAAAGAAAAGCGGGGAAATGAGTCAAAAATGGAAAACGTTAAATGTTCTTCACCATGAAATTTTTATTCATTTTGAAAGCAGACGTTACAAATAAAATGTAAAAACCGGTTGTTCAATTTCAGAGGCAAGGAAAAAATTCCACAATGTGATGTTCCAGTGGTCCCGCAATTATTTATTCAAGAAATGAAATTAATCGACGTAAAAATATCCATTGAAAAATATTAAAAAAACAATATTATTTTTAAAAAATATTCATTTTTTATATTCAGAATCAACATCAGCCGGTAAAAACTGCTATTTTTTGTATTTTTTCCTGGACATATTTTTCGGTAAGGTCGTTATTGGACCACGAATTTACAAAGCAAGTTGAAAGATGTCATCAATTCGGGAAGCTGAATTTTAAGAGTACTTTCATGTGTATTTCAATAAACAATAGTTATGTTTATTTTCAGAAAAGTTTTTGTCCATCTGTGGACTTTTAAATTTCCTTTTATATTAATCGCGGTGGCCATTTTCCCCATTTCAACATTTGGCGGAGACGTCATGGGACGCTCCCCAATACGGTGACTGTGAGGCCCCCCCACTACTGTCCCCACTATGATCGTACTACGACCCTCATAATTGGCATGACTATAAACTTTATAGGATTCCTAACTCGAGTTTATGATTCTGCTACGAGCTACCTGGATGTTGCCCATCTCTGATTTAAATAATTATAACATTTTAACAACACTATGAACCTATTAATAAATCAATTATAATATATAAATACTCCATAAATACATTCATTCCTGAGACATCATTCTCATCACAAAATTGAACAATAATCGACCTATTAATAAATCAATTATAATACATAAATACACCATAAATACATTAATTCCTGAGTCATCATTTTCATCACAAAAATTTCAACAAACTTCAGATTCTCTTTCAATTTATGTTTAGTATGTTATATTGTTAGCTAAACTGCGTAGATAACTTATTACTTTTTTTTTGTCATGGCTCACCCCGATGTTGTAGATCCTGATATCAATCCCTCGGAACTTTTTCTTCTTTATTGTGGTTTCCAGTATTGCCTCGATTTGATTCATGTTCACATTTGTAAGATTCTGCTCTCTCATCATTAACTCAATCGTTTTCCAAACAGTTAAGTGGCTAGCTTCCGCTCGTGTATTCAATGCATGGCATGGTGTCAGCCTTTGACACTGTTATTGGTACGGGATGTTCTCTGTATAACCGATTGGTATTGATTCCATAATTTTATGGCGAATTATTGAGATTTATTTTGCTCGAGATCTTTTTGGAGAGGATTTTTTGGCGGGATCATTTGGCACGATACCAAACCAATCTATAGATGAAATAATAAGAAACTCCAGTAAGGAAATGTTTAATGTCCTTCATAAAATTATGTTCCAAAGGTAAACCGTACAGAGGCTTGTAGAAAATTCACGATGGCTGCGACGGTTGTTTATAGAACTCATCCTTTCTTTCTGGCATATGAATACAATACTCATTCGACTACGGATCTTACCCTGGTTACTCAATGCAGTGCTGACAGAATTAGTCTGCTGGATGAATTGTGCAAACGGTGGCGTGGAACGATCAGTATTGCGGTGTATTTAACTGACGCTGAACTTCAATATTTTCTCGATTTTATTCACAACTCCGATACACTAAGAAGGAGAAGGAATATCGCTTATCACATTGTTTACAAAGAGGGGGTGAGTAAATTCATCTACAATTTTATTTCGTATATTATCATTGGTTGGAAAATCTTTAATACAAAATTCATTATTACATCTATTTGTCGAAATTTTGATTAAGAAGGGGTAAAGACAAAGTCATTATTACACGAGGTTTTACTCAATTTTTAAAAATCAAGAATGTAATGAACGGTTTTCCCTCTAATTTTTGTATTTTCTCATAGTACTTGCCGTTTTGAAAATAGGATCTTAGAATACAGGTACAAAATAATACTCTGAATTTACACTTATATCTTCAAAAACCATTTGATTCTCTCATGTTTCCTAGAAGTAATTTAGAATATCGTGAGGCCTCGGTGGAATAATATTTTTAGGGAATGTATGTACTTATAAAATTTTGTGAAATTTTATTATATCGAGATACGCGCTAGGATATGGGATCAGGAAATTTGTTAACGACTCTGTGCTTTCATATCTTCTGAGATCAGAGTCATGAAATAAAAAAATAGTGCATCAAGATATATCAAAAAGTCTTAAACATATTGTTCAAATCGACGATAATTTTTTCATCGATCTAATCATTTTTCAAATCCACTTTTGATGAGTTACGCTCTTGATCGCCTGATTTTTAGTCGGGAATGAATAACTTTCTGTTTTCAAAGTGATTGTATTGCGACGTAATTTCGGGAGGTTCGTGGAACCCTCCTTCCATTAGTCAGCCCTCTGGCACCCAAACACCCCAAATAAAATGAAAAATAAACTCCTCAAATCAGGCGCCAGACCGTATATAGGAATGACGACCGTCAAAATCCTTCTCCGCTTCCAGCCTCTAATTTCCTGGTTGCTCGGTACGTAGAGATTTAAAATCGAATAGAAGCTGAAAGGGGATGTAACTGAGATAGACAAATTAACTAAATGAAGAAACTATAGAATTGTCGGGAAAACAATTTTTAATTCCTCAATAGGCCTCGATACAATAAAAAAAATAAATAAATAGAATAAAATCCCCTTAAATCGAATACGTGTTATTAAACACAGAATGTAATTTTATACAAGTCATTATCGTCCAATTAAAATGATCAATTAGTTTCTGACGTCTAATGAATTAAAAAAAAGAACATAAATAAACAAATAATCATGAATTGGTCAAGTAAGTCGAAATTATTAGATTGTTGAACGACTGAGTCACGAGACTCGAGTTGTGATTATCAAACGAAAATAATAAATTATCGGAAACAACTGCGTTACGAAACTGAATTGTTATTAGTCGAAAATAGTCAAAAGTTTTGATTAGGAATAATGTTACATAAAAGCGTCAAAGTGATTCTATGACTCGAAACAATAACGCGAAAAATCGATAAGTCTTCATGACCTCGAACATTCAAAAATACATGGAATAAATACAAAACTCGAGACAAATACTCCCGAAGTCACGAGTCCTTGAAAATAAATAAAATTGAAATAAAATCCAATGGCGAGAATTTAACAAGAATTTCACAACACAAATTTATCGATCGAAGTCACGAAACTAACAACAGAAATTACTATAAAAGAATCCACTTCAAAACACTTCAAAAATTCCAGATTAAGAAAAAATACATAAGAATAACCTAAGTCAAAAGAGAGAGAGATAAAATCACTGAAAGAAATGGTCAGAGATCCCCTGATGGAACAAAATACTAATTGTCCTTCAGGACTCAGGTGTACGTAACACCAATAAAAAAAAAGTAAAGAAAATAATCTCTGCCCCCTTTAACAAAACAAACAAAATTTTCAAATAAGAACGACCATCCCGCTCACCCAAATCTCCAAAGGTCTCCTCAAAATCCTTAAAATCTCAATAATATAGATGAGAGTGTCGGTCGGCGTCCCTCAGAACGAGCTAGCGTGCGCCGAACAAAAATTTTCCGACACGTCCACCCACAAAGCCCACCACACGGGAAGTGAAATTAGCGACACACGTGAACGCACGCAACTGATAGCTAACGCGGCTTACTTATATGATTGGGGAGAGGTGATAACGTCATCATCCACCAATCCCTATCAATCGGGCATGCGCGACAGAAATAATTTTAATCAAAACGCATGCGCTGTGAAATTCGCGATACTTACTAATCATTAACGGTGCTTAAAATAATAATAATAAATTCTCAGCGCTTCCCTAATATTCCAACAATAATTCTGTGTCATTTGCTACCCTGAGAGAATAGTAACTCTCCGCAATTAGTTTATTCCTATTTTCTATTAAGGCCCGGGTGGAGGGATTTTTGCCCGACATGTCCCTAGGAAATTCCCTAGAAAAAACGCGTTTTACGGGTAACTAAATGCCAGCCCCCGTAGGCCCTCAAAAAACATAATGGTAGGGTCAATCGACAGATAATTATTTTTACCGGGCCGGTAATTAGGTCTCAGGGGTGGGAAATTGCGGAATGAACGTGTAAATTACGTTCAAAGAGACCCCCTAGATTTCACCATGATGAATTCTCCAATGATCGTTTGGGGAAAAATATGGCGGCTCAATCACTGCGGAATAAAAACACT